GGCGGGTCACATGCACCTGCATCACCCCCCCCCCTGCCACTGTCTACTGTGTCCTGTGTCCCACACGAGGACCCCACACGTGCGCATCGACGGTGCATATAATAAAATTTTCCTTACATTATTTCTTCTCGGAGATGCACCGAGTATCATGACATCCCAAACCGACGGCTCTGATTCGTCCTCAACTCCGAGACCGGATCCTGCCACGTCGGACAGCGCAAAGGGATCATCATTGCCTACACGTCGACCATGTGCCGCAGTTTTCGCCTTCCTCGTGGGACCTACTACTGTTCTTCCCTCGTGTTGTTTGATCCGACGGCTGGGAACAGTTTTAACCGGGCTTACGAGGCTCTTGAGCCGAGCCGGATGGCAACGGGGCCAGCCAGTCACTGTGGGGCTGCCGCGTGTCTATGTGGTGTGGAGTGAAGCGACGGTCTAGCTTTTCCTACCACCCACCCGGTTCATGTGGCCCCCACGTGTATATGCGATTCTGATATGGCAGGCTGTGTACACACTGGGATAGGGATCGGACGTCTCAAAAATCACGTGAGCTTGCTACGTGTATGGCTGGGATTTATCTACAGAGAATAGTCAAAGGCTTCTAGGTGTAGTAGCCCCAGCAAACCAGTTTTTCCAGTGAGGTCCATTTGGATTTTGTCTGTGATCAATCCTAGTGCAACAAATGGATCATTTTGGTCAGTATGTGATTTTTTTATGTCCACCTTTTGTATCCGAATATATGTTAATATTATTTAATATTCATATCTTTTGAACGTGACATTAAAAAAAAAAGAGTTAGGATGTCGTCAAGTCAATTTGTTGAATTGACAGAATTGTTATTTTTCTTTTTAATTATTGAGTATGGATGCGTTGTATTGCCTTGATCAATCAACATTTGTGTGGTAAACAGTAAGGGTTTGTTTCGGAGTGATTCTAAATAGGTCAGAATTACGTAAAATCACTTAAAATTACTTAAATTGATTTTTTGAAGAAGTGATTCTCCACAAAAGTGATTATTGACGTCTCCAAAATCACTCACAAATGAGCCCCAGATTATATAGTTTCAAATATCAAAGTTTAAATACAAGTGGTGTGGAGTTAATTATTGCTTGATATTTGGTTCTATGTGTACGCAATTATTTAATTTAACTTGAATGAAATCATACAAATGCTACAAAACAAAATGTCTTGTCTCCGTAAACAGTATCACATTTGCTTTTAAATTTCTGAAATTATTTCGTTCACACCTTTGTCACATAAAAGTAACAAGGTTTTATTATGAGAACTGTTACACACACCCTAAAAGAGGAGAAAAATTTGTATATTACGGGTTTATATTACCTAACTAATCACGTTTTCATCTTGAGTAATAAATTTGTATATAGCGAAATGTAATTGATTGGGGATAGCAAATCAATACTATCTCCGTGCCATGCAAATTCTTCTAAAAAATGTATATATCATGCTGCAAGAAGCTTGTGTTCGATTCAATCTTAATATAAATATAAGTTATATATTATGCAAGCATCAATAATTCGATAACCTTTGTTTTTAAATATAATTGACCTCAAATTGTACTAGAGACTTGCATGAAAACTTTTTCTTGAGTATGAATAACGCTTCTCTTGATTAAGGTTGAATGAATCCATGTAATTGGGCGGGTCCAAGGCTCCGCTTATTTTTCATCACAATTCAACTTCCATAGAGAAAATGTCATCATTTTGCTGCACTTTGCACCCGACACAACGAAAGGGGATGACTTCTAGGAAGGTCATCAATGGAAGACTAATAAGGCCCCAAGAAAAAAAGAGAAAGAAACAGAGGGCTTTACCAACTGTCCCGGCGTTGTTTATGATTTGCTAATTTGTATAGATGACACATGTTGTCCTAAAAGTCCTTTGCAGTTCTTGCACTAAAACCACATCTCAAAATATCTT